CCTCTCTCTCTCTCTCTCTCCCCCCATAACCCCCTGAATAAATATTCAACCTCACTCTGCATGTCGTGTCTATCCATGTCTCTGTCTCCTGCTCGCCCACCATGTGTCCCCGTGCCTGGGACCAGCCACTGCTCAGGGACCAGGAGCCATCTCTGCCTGAGACTGGCTGCTCCCAGGGCCCACTGTCTGCAGCCACATGGTCCGCTACCACCATTTGGGACCTACAGCATTTCTGCTGCCTACTGCCGCCGGGGATCTTGCAGTATTTTTTAAAAAATCATAAAAATCTATGTCTCCTTCACTCTCTTGGCTGAGTACATTTTAAATGTTTCTTTTTGAGAATTTCATACATGAATACTGTACTTATATTGTTTCCTTCACATTCACCTTCCTCCAAATATTCCTGTACCATTTCATCCCCTCTCAACTTCATGACTGCTTCTTCATTGCTATTTTACACACACACACACACACACACACACACACACACACACACACCCCTTTTAAAAAACCCTACAAGGGAATCTGGGAATTCTTTGGGCTAGGCATGTGCCTAAAGGAAAACTGCAGTGTCAGGCTTGGGTGGTGCCGGCTGCAGGGGGTTGGGGCCCTCAGGGACTAGGACCAGCTCCTGGGGATTCCTGTCAGAAGTCTGGCAGCTGGCTTGGCTGGTCAGAGATCGCAAAGCACAGCGCTTGGGGGCTGTCTGGTGGCATGCAGCAGGTCAGCGCCGTCACAGTTCATGGTGGCAACCTTTCATTTATTACTTTGTTGTCCTGAGCAGACAAGAACAGGCTCAGCTTACTTCTGGGCGATTTCAGCACGGAGGCTGGCAGCTGTCCCAGACCGTGACCATGACCTCTCCCTGCCCCGGAGTGCTGTGCCTGCACCAGGGATTAAGGAAACTCCTGTTGCATTTTCTGTACTCTGAGGCAACTTGCAGAAGGCATCTGCCATTCTGTCAGCAGAGCTCAGCAGACTTTTTCAGAAGATTCCATGGTGTAACTGTTGCTGACATCCCACAAAGGTAGATGCGCTGCCATTGCAGAGTAGGATTAAAGGTTGTTACACGGTACCAAAAGCTGCCCTGGCTGTTGGGTAAGGTTCTCCCAACTCGGTCATACAACCAGTACAGAAAACCCCGGGACAGGGCTATATTAGTCAGGGTTCTCTAGAATAACAGAACTTATAGAATGAATCTCTTTATATGCGGAAATGGGATTTATTAGCATGACTTACAGGCTGTGGTCCAGCTAATTCAACAAAGGCTGCCTATGAATGAAGATCCAAGAATCCAGTAGTTGCTCAGGCCAGGAGTCTGGATGTCTCAGTTGGTCTGCAGTGTAGGCTGGAATCCTGAAGAAGGAGACTCTCATGCCGGTAAAGGAATGGACATCCTAGCCAAGTGACAGCAAGCAGGCCAAGGGCAAAGCTTCCTTCTTCCATGTCCTTATAGAGGCTTCCAGCAGAAGACCTGGTCCAGATGAGAGGTGCGTCTTCACACCTCAAAACATCGAATTTAAAGGTCCAGATTAGAACTGGATCTTCCCACTTCAAGTTAAGCAAAAATCCCTCCCAGGTGTGCACTTCCATTTTGGGGTTTTAGTTAATTCCAGATGTGGTCAATTTTGCAACCAGGAACAGTCATCACAAGAGCATTCTGAAATGCCTTGGGTTGGTTCTGATCATGTGGATGTATTTATAAACAGCTGAGAGAATGCCTGTTTTTTTTTTTTTTAATAAACCGTCAAGAAGGCAGGCTCTGCTAGGTTATGCTTTGAATTACTTGTTCACGAAAAGCACACAGAGTTCAGCCGTGTGTTTGCAACATGAAAGACATTGTAGCTGGTTTAATCCTCTCACCTGACTTTAGGATTAGGAACTGAGCCAGGAGGCATGTGCATAGAATCCGAATGCTGGGCAATTTAGCAAATCCCTGTCTCAAAGCAGAAAATACAAAAGGGCCGGGGGCTGCCCTGGTTGCTTTTGTTTTTGTTGTTACCCTAACATTGGCTGGGGTCATCTGAGAAGAGGGGACCTCAACTGAGAAAATACCTCCATAAGATTGGCCTACAACCTTATTTTGATTGAAAATACATCTCTTCATACAGTATGCTCTCTTCATGGATCCCTCTCCCCATCTCCTCCCAGATCTTCCCCACCTTTCCAACTCCATGCCTTCTTTCTCTTTCTTTAGAAATCAAACTGCAAATAAAACCAACCAGTAAACAAACTGGAATTGAACAAAACAAAAACAAGGAAAAAGCACAACACACACACACAGACACACATACAGACACACACACAGACACACACACAGACACACGCACACACAACACACACAACACACAGACACACACACAGACACACACAGACACACACACACAACACACACACACAGACACACACACACACACAATTGGAAAGCAATATACAAGCAGAAGCATAGTAAGATTTAAAAGATGTCTACGGAAATATGAGACAGCAATTCTACAAAAATACCATTGAGTTCGTTTTTGAGCTGGCCATCTACTGCTGGGTGTACAGGGAATTCACTCAGTGAGACTCCTTTGGAGATAGCTTCTTGGTTAGGAATAGGGCTCATGTCCTCTCCCTTCCGGTGCTGGGACCCCATTCAGGCTTGAATCTGTCCAGGCCTTCTCACACAGTCTCAGCGAGTTCATATGTCTGTCAGTCCTATTGTGTCTGGAAGACACTGTTTCCTTTGTGCCACCAATGCCTCTGGCTCTTCCAATCGGTCTCCTTTTCTGTAGAGTTCCCTGAACCCTGAGGGAAGGGTCTAATGAAGATTCATTTTCCTTGATGGATGGTTGATGTGGATGGCCCGCTCACTGTGGGCAGTGCTATCCCTGGGAGAGTGGGGCTGGGATGTGTAAGAAGGCAAACTGAGCTAGCCAGGGGACCAAAACAGTGAGCGGTGTTCCTCCATGGCGTTTGCTTCAGTTCCGGCCTGTAGTTCCTGTGCTGACTTCCCTTCAGGATGGGCTGTGAGCCATGCGATGAGATGAACTCTTTCCTCTCCAAGTTGCTTTTGATTATGGTGTTTTATCACAGGGACAGAGCCTAAGACCAGGATGGGACTCGGTGGTAGGGTGCTTGCCTGGCATGTGTGAGTGGCCGGGTCTAATCCACAGATTTCAAGATGAACTATTTCTGCAATTGTGCCTCAATGACTTCCCGCAGGACAGACGGAGACCACTCTGTAGATTTCGTTTGCCCACACGTTAAGGCCACGATCTTCTGAATGATTTAGGATCAATAAACACCTCAGACTACTGACAGTCTTGCTTCACTGAGGATCTGTCAATATTTTAATTTAACACATCTAAAAAACAACTGCCAGTAGTTTGTTGGGAAAATTTCACAGATTTACAGAACAAAACCATGCTTACATTTTTGAGATATAATGTCTGTATTTGTCATCAAGACTATTTAGTACTTTGGGTGCCAAATTCCCTCCAATGTCATTTTATAAACAGTTCACAAAGCTTCCTGGGATTGCTTTACCTATTGTGACTACATTACCCTGCTATCCGGAGTTCAGACTCAACGGGCTCTCCTAAGAGTGTGTGGCTATCTCTGGAGTCTCCCTAGCTTTCACATGTTGAGAGCAAAGTAGATGTGTTTGATATGAAGTATTTAGAGCTCACAAAGATGAGATGTGTTTTATAGTCTCTTCATATCTGATCGGCATAAACCCAAAAATGGTTTCCAGACAAGCAAACATACTTGGACAGGATTCCCATGAGAACTGTCTCAATTTCTACCTCTGAAATAACATTCTGCTCCTCCTCCTCCTCTTTTTCTTCCTCCTCCTCCTCCTCCTTCTTCTTCTTTTTTTTTCTTCTTCTTTTTTTTTTTTTTTTTTTTTTTTTTTGAGACAGGGTTTCTCTGTAGCCCTGGCTGTCCTGGAACTAACTCCTGTTGACCAGGCTGGCCTCGAACTCACAGAGATCTGCCTGCCTCTGCCTCCTGAGTGCTGGGATTAAAGGCATGCGCCACCACTGCCTGGCAACATTTTTTCTTTAATTTTTTTGTATTTGCTTGTGTGTGTGGTATTGGGTCTCTACAGAGGTTGGAAGACAGGGGGAGTTGGGTCTCTTGGGGTTGGAGTTATAGTCAGTTGTGCGCTGCATGAAGGTTCTAGGAACAGAACCCAGGTCCTGTGTGGTACTGAGCACTGAGCTGTCTCTGCAGCTTCACCATGCATTGTCAAGTAACGTGAACCAGGGAAGGTAGGGAATGTGGAGTGCTGTGTTAATGTATTATTTAAAATATGTGTCAAATGGAGCTGACATTCTCAGCTAGGTGAGTGGTGCAAACACTGTGCAAACCATAGCATGGTCTGCTGTGATCAGTCCAAAAACTCAATAAAACAAATTTTACAGAAGCTCGATGTTTTTATGCCTGAGTTTTTAAATCTAAAGTAAAAATAAACCTGCATGGAGAGTTTGTAGAGCAATAAATCTTTCTTGGCAACTGAAAAAAAGAATTATTCTTGTAGTGTGCCAATTCTAAGTGCTTTATCGTAAAGAAAGAGCTGACACAGCACTTGGCCTAGTCCTGTAACCTGGCCTGTGTCAGGGGCTGGCACACCCACGAGTCGTATGTGGGTACTGTTGCTGGGTGAAGGACTGCTGGGGCTGGTGAGCCCTCTGTGGCCCCTTTTGCTAGTAACAAAAGTGACAAAACTCAGCAGAGATCACACGGTTCCGGGATTCTGGGGCAGGCTTTTAGATAAGTTATGCTCGAATCATTACAAAAAAAGAGAAAGCAAGGGATCGGAGATGGAGTTGAGCAGTTGGAGTTCTTGCTGCTGTTCCCTTACTGGGCAGCTCACAGCTGACTGTAACTCCAGGGGCTCCGGCACCTTCTTCTGGCCTTGTGTGTGTGGGCACTCACACACATGCGACACACACACACACACACACACACACACAGACAACACACATGCACATTAACAAAATACATTGTAAAAAATACCCATGTGCTTTGCTTTAAACATATCATTTCAAAGCGCTGGAGAGAGATCTCAGTGGCTGAGAGCATGGGCTACTTTTCTAGATGGCCCAGTTCCAATTCCCAGCAACCACCTGGCAACTCACAACCAGTTCCGGGGGACTGGAAATCCTCCTCTGGCCTCCATGGGCACTGCATGCACTTGGTACACAGACACACATGCAGGTAAAACACCCATATGCATAAAATACGTTTTAAAAATTATCATTCCAAATATTTAAATTTCTTAAGAAATCTTAACCACTTAAGACGAGCAAAATCAGCACCTTTTACGACGGACATTTAAAGTGTGAAGCAGTCAGGGCTATACGGCTTCATAAGCTGCACCGCTTAGCAGTGAAGGTGTTAGTGGGTGCAGTGGGCCGACAGGTACAAGTTCCAGTAGAAGAACCTGAAAACCACTTGTACAGCAGAGCTAAACCAGGACAGATCACGGCTCCCTCTGTCTCTGACAGCCCCTGAACGTTGAGCCACTGTGCCTGCCGCTGACTGTGTGACCATGACACACACAGAGGGTTTGCTGCCACCAAAATTACGGAGGAAAAGGCAGAACAAAAGAAGGCCACACAGCAAGCATGAACTACGCCAGGAAACAGAAAACGATGAACTTGAAAGCAACTGGGCGCATCATCGGCTCAGCACGCACGTTCACAAGCAGGCTGTTATTACGGTCATATTGTCACCGCTGAATGAAGACGGCTGTAATAGAAAGGAGGAGGGCCAGGGTCTGAAATGACCATGAAATCACCAGGCAGCTGGAGAGCTCCCACATGCTAATCAGCAGCTCCACTTCAGAGGGCCTTAGCTCGCTCCTCCAAGGGAGGGAAGGAGACAGGAAACTAAGGGACTGAGGAGGGGTAGGTCTCGGTGTGTGTGCGGCTACGGGGGTCACGAGCACACAAAGCAAAGGCCGGTGCAGAAGGGCATTGATCCGCCACAGTGATTTATTGAGGCATTAATAATACAAGTGTACATCAACCGATCCACAGTCAACAGTGGCAGGTCCCTAAGAAATTTACAAGCACTTAAGTAAATCAAAATACATATTATTTTGTTCAGTCTAACAGTCTTCTGCGTGGGGGACAGAAGGCTTGTGATAAACAGGGTCTCAGTAACGCACAGTGATTCTGATTGGACCTTTTGTACAAAACCTTGTTCCCAGTAGCATGCACCCACCAATAAAGACTTCAGTACAAAAAATTAACCCTAAGCACTACCTTTAAGTAGAAACGAGATATAATTCTGAATGTGTGTTTTTCTGAAGAGCACATAAAAGAAAAAAAAGATAAAACAAAACAACAACAACAAAAAAAACCCCAAACCACACAGTAATACAAAGCTTGTAGGAAAGCTCTTACTAGCACAGAGCTGACATGGTTTGCACTTAAAACAGACGCTCCCATCCACACTGAAGTGGGGGGAATCCCAACTCTTTCAAGTTAACAGAATAAAAGGGAGAAAAGAGAGCCAGAGAGAAGGGGAGGAGGGTGAGGGTAGGAAGAAGGAGGGTCAAATGACATACCATCACAAAACAGTTCAAAATTTAATAAAAACAGGAAACAGAACGGAGGTCTGGAGGGGCAGGCGGGCTATTGATGCACTTGGTGAATGTGCTTGCACACAGCTGGCACATGGAGGCCCCTAGGTGGCGTACCGCTTGGTCCACTGTCTGGCCATCCGGTCGTGCTCGGCTCTGTTGGTCATGTACTGTGTGGCAATGCTGCCCACCAGAGGGTCGGCTGTAAGAGAGGCAAAGTCAGGAGTCAGTAAACAGCAGCGTGACATCAGGAGAGGGCCCTGCACAGTGGTCCAAGTTAGGGCGCGGGAGGTGTTCTAAGGCCCACACTGGTGTCACCACAGGACAGACAAGTCCTGTTCTCCCCGTCCTCACCACACACTTCCCAGGCTGCTGGTCGGATTTCCTGGGAGGTGGCTCAGACAGGCTGGTCACTTTGACACGGGCTTAGCAACACAGCAGTGACTCTCAGACCCTGCCTTTCCTGTTCCACACAGCTGAGTGGAACCTGAGTGGCGGCTGTGCTCACCTCAAACAAAACAGGAGTAAAGGCCTCCGCCAATCAAGGTCCACGTGGCTCATTATTACAGAAATACTGGTAACAGCTTAACAAACTCATTGCACCGATCTCACAGGGCTGATAAGAGGAAGGAGAAAGAGGAGGGCCTGGAGCCAGGGGCTGCCCTTGGCCACAGGGCATGGGACAGGAGCCTCGGTGTTTATTGGAAAAAAAAAGTCCAATTTCAAAGCACCAAGAACTTTCTGGAGTGCCCATTTTCTACCCAGCTCATTCTAATTCTCTAATTTCTTTCTTTCTCTTGAATTTTATTTCCCTTCTATTTGTGTTGAAAATGTGGGTTTTTCCTGGCAGTTACCTGTAAAGGGACTAAGAGGGGGAAAGGCAGCAGGGGTTAATGCTACATCTAGACTACAAGTAGAGTGTGCAGACGACACCTGTGGTCGGCCTGTCCGTGAGCTAGCAAGGCTCACAGATGCCACAGGAGGATCAGTTCGCACCCCTAAGCTGAGACGTCCCCTCAACAAGACCCTGGAAGAGGCTGAGTCTGACATTTGTGGGGTCACAGAAGTCTCTGGGCTTGCTCTGCTCTTCCGTGACCCTCCTCCTTGCTCTCACATCTTGAAAACTACCTCTTTAAGCCAGCCCTGCCAGGAGTCACAACCCACAGACACTACCTAGTGCAGACTGGCCACGGCACTTTTTGAAAACGTGACCTCTAAGCTGAGACCAGGTACCACGGGTGGGGACACGAAGTGTACCCGGTGCCACATTTCTCTGCTTTGGATTAATGACGTGTTCCAGGATTTGGCAGTTCACAATGCAAAGCTGAGAGTCCTGACACTCAGGACTTGGGACACGTGCTTGGTTCTACAGAACCTGTATTAGTGACATACTTGGTCCATCCCATGGATGCTCCAGCTGAGTGATGTACACAGTCGTGAGCCACTATCAGAGTGTTAGGAACTGAACCACTGAGCATCTCTTCAGCCCCAACAAGGTCGCTCCTGAGGTTAAACGGTTTGAA